TTATCTACTATTACATGAGTTCTTTCTGTTTATTTACTCAATAAATATTCACTGATCCTATACTATATCCAGGGACTATTCTTGAGCAAAGGAGACAAAAAGTTCGCTAAACTACAGTGGAAAGAAAAGACAGATATTAATCAACAAAACTAAGTACACCAATTATATGGTATAGCAGAGTATAGTAGGCTGTACATGAAAAAGGGAAAGTAAAGCAGGTTAAGGGGAACAGTGCAAGGAAGCAGGTTGTATCATCAGATAGGATGAACTGGGATTTGCTTCATGAAGATGAAATCTGAACGAAGATTTATGTTCAGTTTTTAATTTTTTTTTTTTTTTGGTCTTTTTGAGACAGGGTCTCCCTGTAGCCCCAGCTGTCCTGGAACTCACTATGTAGACCAGGCTGCCTCTGCCTCCCGAGTGCTGGGATTAAAGGCATGCACCACACCCGGCTAGTTTTTAATTTTTTTATGTACTTATTTTTTATTTCTATGAGTGTTTTGCTTACATGTAGCTAAGTGTACCACATGCATGCAATGCCCACAGAGACCAGAACTGGTTACAAATATTTGTTAGTTTCGAGGGAGGTGCTGGGACCTGAACCCAGGTCCTCTGCAAGAGCAGCTGGTGCTCTTAACTGCTAAGCTATCTCTCCAGCCTCACTGTTCTCTATTATACAGCATGCTATTGTTATGTCAAGAAAGCACTATTTTATATTGTAGTTTTGTTTTTCAAGTTTTCAAGTTTTGTTCTGGTCACTAATACTTAATTTCACCCAAGTTCCAGTTTTCTTGTTTATTTGTTCGCCCCTGACATATCTAGTTGATCAATTTTTAGCAATTGGTTCATTTTTAAAGAGTAAATCACCAAAACTATCTAAGTGCACAGGTAGAGACTGTGGAGTCATCAGACTGAAAGACAGACCTTTCATTGGAATATCAAATTTCCTATAAACAAAAGCACTTTCTCTAAATTTTGGCCCATTTTTTCCAGGGAAAAATTCAAAGCCTCTGCATTTTAATGTTTAGTAAACCTCCCATTCCTGCCAATGTGAGGAAGGAACATCATCTGAGGGCAGGGAAGAAGGTGATCCAAAACGCTACATACTCAGAGAATTTAAACAAACTCACTAAGTTTTTAACCCTTTTTGTATTAAGACATTCAAAGGTCACTGAGTAACTATCTACAGAGTTTTAAAGCTAAAATGAGCTTCTTTCTTACTAGTACTGTGAATTTTCTTAGTTCTGCTACGTGAGTTACCACTGATCAACAAGCTAGCGATCATGTCAAAACTTACTAAGGACTTCCATCAGCTGCCATATCCTCTTTGATGTTCTCTTGATTTTGTCAGTTTTAAACTTTCTTTTTCTATATTTTACTTATTATTTTTATGTGTATGAGTACACTGCCTGCATGTATATAAGTGCACCTGTGTTGTGCACTGCCCATGAAGGTCATAAGAGGACATAGGATCCCCTGAAACTGGAGTTATAAAAGGTTGTTAGCCACCATGTGGCTATTGGGAATTAAACTCGGATCTTCTGCAAGAGCAGTTAGTGCTCTTAACTGCTGAGTCATCTTTCCAGCCCCCTAAACTAATAAGATTTAATTTCATTTTTATTTATGTATATATGTCAGTAAATGTGTATACCATATGTGTATGGCCCATGAAGCCTGAAAAGGGTGTCGAATGCCCTGGAGCTGGAGTTAAAGGCAGTTGCAAACCCCCTAATATATGTCCTGGGAACTGCACTCAGGTACTCTGCACTCAAGTGCTCTCAACTGCTGAGCCATCTCTCTAGTCCCCTAAGCTTTTATAAATTTTTTAGCTTCATTTTAGTGAAGTTAGGGGAAACACAAATACACGTTGAATGCACCATGTCATGTGTGTGTGTGTGTGTGTGTGTGTGTTTGCGTGTGTGTTTGCGTGTGTGTGTGTGAGCCTGCATGTGCAAGCAAGAGGTCAACATTAGGCTGTCATTTCTCAATGTTACCCTGTTGCATGAGACAGTCTTTCTCTGGGACCTAGAGCTTGTCAAATAGGCTAGGTAGGCTGGTAGAGAGCCCCATACACCTGTCTGTCTTCATCTCCTCCATGCTGATTACAAGTGTGTACCATTACATGTGGCTTTTTATGTGGGTTCTTTTCACATGTGGCTTTTTATGGGGGAATGGATTCAGGTCCTCATGCTTGCACAGAAAGCACTTTACAGACTGAGCTATCACCTGAGCCCCTATGTACCATGTTTAAATGGAAATCCTCCTTCTAATCTTTCAAAATAAAAGTTTAAAAAATAAGGTAAACATAACACAATATAGTTTATCAACAGTCTAAAGAAAATCCAAGAAAAATCTCTTATAATTACAAAAATAAATCGCTGGATAAAAGATCATTAAGTAACTTACATTTAAGAGAATTTATGATTCATACGGCTGATTTTTTTAAAAGTGAAGACAGAATTAATTTTAAATAGTGTAAGTTTTACCTGTAAGATTCTAGAAGATCCACAATTTCAGTCTGTCCAAAGTGTTTAGCCCAATCTAAAGCCATCCTGTAAAAATTCAAAGATATCAGACTGAAAACAATGTTTTTAAAATTATAAAACTGTCATTCAAAATTACTTATTTACTCATTATAGATGTATCAACAATTACTATAAAATAGATCTTAATATAAAGACAGACATAAGAATTTTTAAAAAAATGTGCAACTCTATCAAGATATACAAGGAATGGATGCAATCTAAAATTACCAGCCATTTGATGCTTTACTATGGACATTAGCTCCCATACTAATCAACTGCTCTACTTGACTTGTAAAACCTCGTCCTGCAGCAACCATCAGAGCTGTTGCACTGGTTTCACTATGCCTGTAATCAACTAAAAGAAAAAGATAAACTGTTAAATTTCCAAACACACACAGACATACACATGTGTCTCAGATTATAAATCCCTGAACTTTCAAGTGAGATTACTAACTTCTTTGGAGTAATTATTGAAATGGACAAAAGAAGGCCAGAAAATACATAAATAAATATGTAGACTTTTGAAAACAAATATTATTTCTCAAAATATACATTTCAAAATCTGATTAATTTTTTTCAGTGTACATCAATAGGAGCCAAAATATATTTACAAAAAAATGAAATGCTTAAAGATCTTTTATTTACGAAGAGCTCTGTTAGACTAGTAGATAAACGGGATTATGGCTGAATAATCATAACCAAATATTAACCTAAAGTCTGTTACCACAACACAATTGGTTACTGACCCAGCCACATTCAATTAATAAACTAAGAAAATATAAAACAATTAGAACTTTTAAAAATTGTTTAAAAAACAGTAGGCAAAATCTGTAAGATGAACTTTTCTTAAAATAATTCAAACCAACAAATATATAATGAAAATAAATTTAATGAAATCCCATGTTAAAAAAATAACTAGAATTTTAAGAAACAGTGTGAACCAGCAAGGCAATATGGTTGGCAAGGAGACATACCAGCTGTCAGCCAAATTACTATAAGAATGGAGGGTTTTTTTTAAAGAATAGAGGTTTTTACTAGATCACCCTGGTAATAGGCCAGCCAGGGTGAACATAATGAGACCCTGCCTCAAAAAATAAATAAATAAATAATAAATAAATAAATAAGTATCAGAAAAAAAAAGCTGTCCTCATGTACTTGAAAATCTGTCAAGAATAAAAGCACACTAAATCTCTTCTTTATTACACCAGACAGTAGGAAGGGTTGGGTATAAAAACCTCAAGGCCCACCCACAGTGGTCCATTTCCTCCAGCAAGGTTCTACTTCCTAAACCTTCCACAACCTTCCAAAACAGTGCCACCAAGGACCTAGCGTTCAAATGCATAAGCCTACAGGAGATATTTCACATTTAGAACCTCAACAGACCCAACCATGGAAAGAACTTTGAGTTTTCTTCACAATCTAATCAAAAGCAAGGAAAACCTGAGAGAGGTCAGTGGCATTTTGAGAAGAATCCATCTGATCGCTCTATGGAAAACAAAATGCCCTATCATAAGAGAAGTAATTACTGGACTACCACAACAGTAAAGAGGCGAAAAGTACACTTAGACAAGAAGAGTAACAGGAAAGTAAATGTGGTTAGGTTCAAGTTTTATTTTAGAGAAAAAATTAACAGGATTCTCTAATGGGCTGTAGGCAGAATGTGAAAGTCAGACTTTACATATGCACAGTTGCCTTAGCAACTACAATAAATGATAGTACCCATTCCTGAAAAAGGAAAACAGCAGACTGGAAAAGAGAGAGGTGGTAAAGGGATCAAAAGGTGCTTGGGAGGCTGGAGAGATGGAAAGTTAGACTGAAGATTAAAAAATTAGGGGTCATTTAAAATAAATATTTAAAGCCATTTTTCTAGTTTTATTTCTGTTTCTATGATAAATACCTTGACGAAAAGCAACAGGGGATAAAGGGTTTATTCCGTTTACAATTTGAGATACTATGGGGAAGTCAAGGCAGGAGCTTGCACATCCACAGTCAAGAGCACAAAGAAATGAACACATGAATGCTGCTTGCTTGCTTGTTCTCAGTCCCAACTCTCCACTCATAGAGTTCAAGACACCCCTGCCTAGGGAATGGTGCCACACACAGAGAGCTGGGACTTCCTACATCAATGAAGACAATTCCCCATAGAAACACCCATAGACCAACCCAATGCAGACGATCCCTCATTAAGACTTTCTTCTCAGGTGATTCTAAGTTGTGTCAAGTTGACAATTAAAGCTAACCATCACAAAAATGAAAAAGAAAAAAAGGTTAACCATCACAGCCATGAATAGGTAGAATCCATGCAGGGAGTAAATGTAAATAAAAAGTAAATAAAATAAAATAAAATAAAAGTAAGGTCTTAGGATTGAGGCCTATATTTGGAGATAAGGGAAAAAAACTCTGCCAAAAAAAAAGTTATAAAGAAATGAAACCAAGTGTGAAATATCAGAAGCTGAGGAAAATGCCTCAAAAAAGGAATGATCAATAAATTTAACAATAATAATGTCAAGTGTTTACATAAAAAGATAAAGTGTTTGACATCTAAAGCCTTTCCAGTAGTGACTTTTTATGATTATTCATCCTGCATTTTGACTAGAACCCTACAGAGTTAAGAAACTCATGTGTAGCTGCCAATATTCACATACATCAACTAATAAAATGAGGATAACTCAGTGAAAACATGACAAAGTGACTCAGAACTTGAGCTCATACAACAAAAACGAAAATTACTAAATGAATGATTTGTCAAGGTTATTATGCAGTTTTGCTTCTGTTTTAAATCCTCAATCATTTGAGAGCCAAAATTAGTTCCTAAAGGGTCGAATGGGGAGAACTGAGTATATGGATGCACACAACACAAATTCATAAAAGCATTTTTCTCATATTTGTGCAGACCTCGAGAAACTATCCTGGACATATTAAGAAATTTAAAACAATATAAAACATGCCAAAAGAAATTATTGATTGTAAATAAAAGTGTTATGCATATATTTTAAATTAAAATGTACTTCTACCTCAAATCACTAAAAATTTAAGTTCAAATAAACTTACCACTAACATTTTCAGTTAAAATAAGATGAAAGACCTGAGCAAAGGCATCAACATCTTTATGCAGCCAAATGTCAGAAAGGCAGGCATCCATTTCCTTTATTAACCATGGTTCAAGGCAATTCGCATCTTTTTCTGTCTTTTAAAAACAAAAAAAGCAAAGATTATAAATTACTTAACTGCTTAATATTTTCTTGCAGCAAAGAATGTAAAATGCCCAAAATGGCCATGGGAACTAATAACCATATATAACATACGTAGGATTGCAAAAGTTTCTCATTTCATCTTAACATTATCATTCACAACACTGTATCTTATTATAATCATCTTTTATCTGAAAATGAGCTTGTCAGCAAATTACTATGATGTAGTTACATTAAGTGTGCTTCTCACAGTATACTGTGACATGTATATTGATTCCCTTTTCTGGCTATGTAACAAAGGAAGCATCACTTAGACCTTAATACTGACACCAGATACCACTCCATATCAAATATTCAGAATCTCTGTTGGTAGGGAGCTAGCTATGGTGGCTCATACCTGCAATCCCAGCACTCAGGAGGCTGTGGGAAAGAACTGTAGTTTCAAAGGCAGCCTGGACTACATGACTAGTTTTAGATAACTCTAAAAAGCCCCAAAAGAATCCCCTTTCTCACCCCCAAGCCCCACCAAAAACATCTTTGCCATTAGAAGAAAAGATTCCACCAGTCTTTAGAAGTTTCTCCTATGTAGAATATCCAGCTAGGTTCTTTTTTTAATTTTTAAAAAATTCATATTTTTATTTTATGTGTATGAATGAATGTTTTGCTTACATGCGCATTAAGTATACCACATGTGTGCAATGCCCATGAAAGCCAGAAGAAGGTGTCAGATCCTCTGGAACTGTAGTTATAGATGGTTGTTAGCCCACGTAGGTACTGAGAACCAAACCCAGGTACTCTCCAAGGGCGGCATGTACTCTTAACCACTGAGCCATCTCTCCAGCTCCCTAGCTAGGATCAAAATGCTGATCACTCACTCAAATTGGTCTTTGCTACACCGATCAATTTTAGAGCATTCTTCAGAAGGATTTTTTTAAAAACACGAGTATAACATATTTGGATGAATTACAACTTTAAAACACTGGTTAAACACTAGTATTAAATGCAAGCATCTCTGCATTAGATATCTTCTCATGCTCAAAAATAGCTAAATTCTTTTAAAAACAAAATTTGGGACCACAGGTATAGCTCAGGAGTAGAATGCTTATAAGGCCCTAGATTTAATCTCCTACCCACTTAAAAAAAATTTTTTTAAATAAATAATTTGAGAATTTCATACATGCATATAAGGTGTTTTGATCAAATCCATGCCCACTCCCTCCCCTCCAACTCCTCCCATATTTCTCCATCACTTTTTTCTGATAACTTCGTGTACTCTTTCTTCTTTATTTTTTTAAATGGGGCTTCTGGCTACTCTAACATTCCCCCTTCTGAAGAGGTAACCCTAAAATCTTTTAAGGATTAGATAAACGCTCCCAAATATTTTCAACTTTTTTTTTTTTTTTGGCCTTTGGAAAAGAGTATGTTGCTAAGAGGCCCAAGGACATTGTGAGTTTTAGTCAAGAAACTGGCTACTTTTCTTTGGTGTCTTTTTACTCTACCTGCCTAGCCAATTCCTACAACCTATTCTTATCACACCATCCTCTGAAGAGGTTACCCAAATTGCCAATAGGGAATCGAGCCGCAGACCACTCTGGCTTCTTCCATGCTGAACAAGGGCGCAGGGTGAGGCAACTGGAATAACCCTTCAGTGGGTCTATCTAAAAGACTCCCAAATTGCATAACTCTTTTCTCGAGGAAAAGAAAGTCTTTGAATCATGAATAGGAGATGTGAAGGAGAAGTAAAGGCAAGAGTAATTAGCATTACAAGTTCTAGACAGGGAACTAGAAAAAAGTCAGAACAGGGCAATTTTCAAATGTTCATGTGAGAGTCCATTGGAATTTCTTGACAAGGGCTTCCGAAAGCATTCCTCTATTGGGTTTCTCCTCATTTTCCTTTTGTCTTCCATGGTAGACTCTAGAGTGTTGGATTCAGGATTTGCTTTCAGGTATTTTGATAGCTGTTGGAGTGGTTAGAATCAGTGTCAGTTCCCTCTCAAAAGCTCTGAGATAACTGAGGTGTATGTATGACCTGGGTATGCACACTGGAAAGCCTTTATCCAGCATGGGTCATGATTTCTCTTCCTAGTCTTCTCCAGTTTGTATACTTTAGCCCTCCCCAAATCCAGGCCATGTATGATTAGGGTCAAATTACATTCAGTTGACTGGGAATAGTGGCTGGATAATGCAGTGCAGTCCAATGACCCTGCATGGCCCTCTTTCAATGAATGAGCACACCGGTCAACATGCCCAATTGTGACAATGTTTACTGATCAGGCTCAGCTGAAGTCGTGATGATGGTAGTTGTTTCATGCAGAAGGGACTGCTGTATAGCATCATATTATTAAAAGGAACTGAAATTTAAAAGGATTTGGTGTTAGGATCCACATATGAGGGAGAACATACATTGTTTATTTATTTTATTTATTTATTTATTTATTTATTGGTCTTTTTGAGACAGGGTCTCCCTATAGCCCCAGCTGTCCTGGAACTCACTATGTAGACCAGGCTGGTCTTGAACCCACAGAGATCCACCTGCCTCTGCCTCCTAAGTGTTTAATGTGTATGAGTATACTGCCTGCATGTGTATAAGTGTACCTGTGTCATCCAATACTTGTGGAGATCAGAGGAGGGCATTGGATCCCCTGGAACTAGATTTATGGATGGTTGTTAGTCGCCATGTGGGTGCTGAAAATGAACCCAGGTCCTTTGCAAAAGCAGCTAGTGCTCTTAACTGCTGGCCATCTCTCCAGTCCCTAAAACCTGCTTTTTCTTAACTCTTAAAAAAAAATTTATTTATTATTTTTATTTTATGTGTATGCATGTATTGCCTGCATGTAGGTAAATGCACCCGTATCATGCAATGCCAGCAGAGGTCAGAAGAGGCTGTCAGATCCCCTAGGACTGGAATGACGGACAGGGGTTAGCTGTCATGTGGGTGCTGGGATTTGAACCCAACAACCTACTTTTTAAGAAGTTATTCTGAAAAATATGTTGCAGTCTAAAATAAATTAAGAAAATTATTCTCTAATTACAAAGTAAAAGTACTATTACCACTATGCAGGCAAGCTATAGTCACCCCTCCTTCCCTTGCTCATCAAGGAGTCAAGGTGGGAGTCAGTTACCCCTCCCACCCAATCAGTTGACCTTTAGCTGCATGAGTGGGAGGGGCTAAGGATATATAAGCTGAGAATGCCTGGAGGCACCTCTCTCACCATTTTCTGTGGTTGTCACTGCAGGAAGTCACAGGATCTACATTTAAGTGTGGCCTTTCCAGTGCAGCCATAAATGGGGGGGCTCCCACTCCTCTGTAAATAAACCCCTACCCTATGCTCTGTTAAAAAAAAAAAAAAGAAAGAAAAAAAGAAAATGATAGGTGTTTGGACAGATAGATGAACAGATGAGAGGGATATGACTAAACCACAGTGGGTGAACTTGCACTGTGGAGTGTCTGGGGACACTGACGACACAGTGGGCCTTAATACCCAGGACAGAGTATATGGGGGTATATAGACAGAGTATATAGTTCCCAATGGGGGGGACTATGGGAGAGTGCTGGTGCAGACGAGGCTATAAAATGATTCAGATTGTTTGAGATATTCTGTATGAAATACAATAAAATTTAATAAAAACAATTTTTTTGAAAAGTATTATTACCTCCTAACAGTTGTTTAACCTACAAAAATTTTTACTCAAAATATCACAGTAAAACTAGTAAGGTCTTACCAGCTGACTAAAGACAGCATCACCACTATCATCCAATAAATCGTACTCTTCAGATACGTTTGGAACAGCCCTCTGCCTCTGAGATTCAGGCTTGAAAGTGTTCTCTTGAGCTGAGTACCACTCTGTGAGTGTAGTCTGTTGTTTCTCCTCTAAATTATCAAAGGAAAAAAAATAAGTAGATCAATTCTTTCAACAATGTATCCCTTTGTTTAAAAAAAAAAGGAACTAAGAAAAGGTATCACTTAAAAATTGGCCTTATTTTGCATTAAAAAATATATTGAGTCTTTCAGAAAGTTATGCTGCAACATAAGGATATATGAAACTGCAAAAACAAAAAAAATCTAACAAGCTTGCTTCTAAGTAGGTCCAGAATTTATAGAAGTAGGTCCAGAATTTATAGAAGCAGGTCATTACCCATAGGTAATATAAACCTATTGTTTAAATCAATGATTAATATTCATACAGCACTTTGTAGAAAACCATTTACTGAACTTGTATCACCACGCCAACTATTTGTGATACATAATTCCATATATTTCAGAAGTTTCAAGATCTGTTTCATAATTTGCAATATATGATTCTGTAATTTGCAGAGAATTACATTTTTCAAGTGGAGAATCAAGAGTTAAGATATATGTCCATAATTAAACAATGGAATTAAAGCTCAAAGCAAAGTATACTACAAAAAAGAATATAAACCATAACTAAAAAGCTAAGATGCAACATGTCATTATAAGAAAATTTGTCACAGGCAAATTATGTTAAATTCAAAGTATAAATGCAGTTATATAATACAAGATTTGGAAAACTTGCTGGGACTCCTGGCACATGCCTATCATCCTAGTACTCGGCAGGCAGGAGGTTTGAGAGAGTTCCAGGTCACCTTGAGCTACACAGTGAGATCTTGTCTCAGAAAATAAAATTAAAAATTGGAAAACTTGACATTTGCATGAAAGATAAGCTTGTCATTATCAATCCAATGCTCTTTTCAGTCCCTCCCCACCATGTCTAAATTTCCTCTAAAGGGGGAAGCTGTGGGGAGCCAGCTATGTTTAGCTGCTTCCTTAAGATACTGACCGAGCCTCTGCATACAGACAAATTCAATGTCCTCAAATCTAGCATCCACTGTTAATTACCTTTCAAAGATTCCAACTTCTGAATATAAGTCAGGATATAAAAGTATATCAGGGACAGTATTGTGATATAATTTTATACAGTTATAAGGAAGAGGAAAGCCTTTTCAAACGTCGTTATTCCTCCATAATATAAGACTACTGCATTACAAAAAGTTACTTTTGATAGGGGCTGGAGAGATGGCTCAGCGGTTAAGAACACTGATTGTTCTTGCAGAAGACCCAGGTTTGAATCCCAGCACCCACATGGCAGCTAACAACTGTCCATAACTCCAGTCCCAGGGGATCTGACAGCCTCTTCTGACCTCCGCGGGCATTGCACGACATGGGTGCACTTACCTACATGCAGGCAATACAAGCATACACATAAAATAGAATTTTTTTAAAAAGTTACTTTTGATACATAGTAATTTCTTTAATAAAAAAACCTTACCTCGTTGCTTTTCTTTTTTGTACTTTGACATTTCTTTGTTTGTATATCCAGTAGTTCTTAAAATATCTTCCAGAAACATTTCTTTTACTTCAAATGGTCTTCCCTGTACTAAATAATAAAATTTTTAAATACTCAATTTTCATCTTATTCACATAAAAACATGAGCGTTTCAAGTGTAATGAACCTGCTTAAAGCACTTAAAAGCAATTCCGAAGGATAAAGTGACTTTCATGATACTGTCTTTTAAATGTAACATTTCCAGAAAACAATCTATAGTGGACAACTGTCTTATTTTACACAACTGTTCATGTACTTTTCCCCCCTAGTTTAATCATCTACTGACCATGTGTCTGACAGCACATTAGGCACCAGGAATACTAGGGCACATACACAAACAGAACCGCCTCCTATTTCCATGAGAAATACTGCCTGGGGAGACAGACATTAATCCAACAGTACAAAATAGAATGAATGTGAAGTATTAAAGTCTGATGAGAGAGTCATATGAGAAAGGCGTATAAGATACCATAACAGTGGACAATAGAGGGATATGACTACATCAAGAAAAGAAAAGATTTTCCACTGAGACATTAGGAGGTAATAAAATAATAACTAAGCTCTAAAGAAAGTAAATAGTATGTGATGAAGAAAAATGCAATATGTGCACAGTCACTGTGGTAGAACCAAAATAATGCTATTTTCTAAAAACTAAAAAGAAAATGGGAATAGGGGAGGAAAGGGATTCAAGGCCACAGAAACAGAATAGTATTAAGAATTTCATCCTGAAATTAAAGGCCATTCAAGAGTCAAGATAGTGGTCAATATCATCAGAATTTTACTTCATAAAAGACCTCTTTGGCAACAATGTGGAGAATGAATTTCAATAAACAGAAGAACAGAACCAGACCAGATACAACTACTAAATAGTTCAGGTAACAAATGAAAATAACCCAAGCCTTACAACAGTAAATGAAAAAGCAATAGATGATTGAAACATAAAGTAAATACACAGAACTCAAGATTACACTGGCTATGAAATGCTAAGAAAGCATCAACTATAATACCTAGATGCCTGGCTTATAAAACCAGAAGGATGTTTATCTGAGATAACAAAGGAAAGCTATAACAAAAGAAATAGACTGGCTAGTAAAAGCTGGTTTCCATATATACCTATTAAATGTGAGGAGTCAAAACAAGCTTTTCGTTAGCATAGTATAAATTTTATATGCCTAATCAGCCAAGAAAATATACGTATTTTTAGAAGAATGTACAGGTTTGAGACTTAGGTGACTAAACAGTAACCGAGGCAAGCAAGACAAGAAGAGAACCATGTTTTATAGACTAAGTGTTTAGTTTGAATGTATTACAAGTAATAATACAGGATTCAAGAGGTAGTAACGTCAAACAAAGTATGAGATCTGAGCATTTCACATAAAAAAGGCTAACCATGAGATCTAATGCAGAATATATAAGACTTTTGACTAAAATTTAAATATTGGGCTTAGCAATTAAGATTGGTACCAAAATACTATTGTTAACAATGCCTAAAGGGGGATAGAGAGATGGCTCAGCAGGTAAACGTGCTTGCCACCAAGCCTGATGGCTTGAGTTTAATCCCCAAGACCCACATGGCAGGAGAGAACTGATTCCTACAAGTTGTCCTCTGACTTCCATTCAGTGCCATGACATACTTGCACATGCACATGTACATACATACCCATACAAATACATATACACTCTAAATAAAAATTTAAAAAATTTTAAAAAGAATTCTTAAGTCAACAGTGCCAAATAACAAATAAATAAATAAATAAATAAATAGAAATAATTCAACCTTTAGAAAAAAATAAACAGTGAAAGCTATTAATAAAGTAAGGATGATGGAAACTTTGGATATTATAGCTGACGAGAAGCTGTCTTCATGTGACCCAATGAAGGAGAAGCATTAGGATAAGAAAAAATACTCTATCCAAAAGAAAGGAAGGAAGAGCTTCAGAAACCCACAAAAGGAGGAGTCATAGTACAGCTGAAAATTACAAAAAAACAAAAAGGAAAAGAACCAAGAAGAAAGCCAAGCCAAACACAGCTCTAGCTGCAGCACTCCTCAGCAAAGGGAGGGGAAGCAGAAGCCTTATTCAGAAATAAACCAAGCAGCCCCCATGAAAAGAGACTGGCAGTCCCTACCCACAGGACAAGCCCAGGCCTCATAAGTCTTGCTGAGACAGGGACTTCTCTTGCCAGGTCAGCAGGAGAGAGGAGTTCCCCGGCTCAGAGAGCTGTGGTGGAAGGTCAAAGTAAGACAGAACCCAGTGTTTAAAACTGATATACCCTAGGGGCCTGAGAACAAGGAATTCTCACAGGCCAGGAAACTAAATTCAAACTGCCATAGCCTGGGAGTGAGACAACCCAGAGAGGTAGTTGTGGAGAGCAGAAATGTCAGATGCTGACAGATAAAAAGCCAAGGCGGTAAAGTGTACAGTGAAAGGAAGCCGCACCTTCAGTACCTAGAACAGACATTGTCAACCAAGAGTAAGTCTGGAGTTTAACAGCCTTGAGCCTGAGGCCAGCAGGTGGATAAACTGACAGTGTAGACATCTGTTCCAAGGGATCTAGTAATAAGGTGCAGAAGCTATAGAACAGTATTTAAAGAGAAACACAGGATAAAAACAAAGGCTTCTTTCTTTTTTAAGATTAGAGAATTGGATTTACTGCACATCAAAGAGCTCTAAATGCAAAAGGAGAGGTCAAACTAGAGGCAACTATGACACCTGTTTCAGAGGAAACATAAGTAAGTGCCTTCTACTTCAGAATCTACTTTCAAAATCCTGTTTGGAAAATATATACATAATCACATCCCAAAGTTTTCTTTCACAAAAATTATAAACAGTAACTGATAATTTGACTTACTATATATCACTGGACAACTTCCAAAATATCTTATAAAGAGATTTACATCCAAGGCAGCACTAGAAAGAATTAGTTTCAGAGTTGGGTGCTTTTGTAACAAATCTCTTAACTTTGTAAGTAAAAAATCACTAAATCGATCCCTTTCATGTACTTCATCCTGCAGTCAACAAAAATAAAACTATGGATCAGGTAAGGCATTATGGATGACTTGGTCTTTAAAAGAACACTACTGCTGGGTTTACATTAGCTCAAATTAATAAAGACAAGGCCAATTAATATCAGGGAACATTTTGTATTATAGACAATTCAGAAATAATCATATAAACAAACTATAACCAATTCTAAATTATTACAATCTAATGTAGTTTTAATATAAGCAAAATTTTAATATGCTTCTGGCTGGACATGGTAGAACACCCTTATAATTCCAGCTGCTCAGAAGACCAAAGCAAGATGGCAAGTTGGAGGCCAGTCTGAGCAATTCAATAGTAAGAGCCTGTACCAAACAGAAGGAAAGAAACAAACAATAAGAACAACAAAACCATGTATATTTGTATACATATGCTTTTGTTACCCACTAAGGATCACGTGAGTCCTTTGATTAGTGAAAATCCGCTGATGAATTTTTTCTGATACAGACTAGATAAAAGCTTAGAATACTTTAATAAAAAAGCAATTTATTTTTATTTCATAGTACAAGTGTATTGCCTGCACGCATGTAAATACAGCACCCATGTTGTACAATGCCCATGGGGGTCAGAGGGGGCGTTGGATCCCCTGAAATGAGTTATGGATGGTTCTTAGCCACCATGAGTGTGCTAGTAACTGAACCCAGGTCAGTCAGTGCCCTTAACCACTGAGCCAACTCTCCAACTCCAAAACGGTAATTCTTAATATTTATTTATTTATTTATTTATTTATTTATTTATTTATTTATTTATTTATTTTGGGGTCTTTTTGAGACAGGGTCTCTAGGTAGCCCCAGCTGGCCTGGAACTAGCTACACAGACCAGGCTGGCCTCGAACTCACAAAGATCCATCTGCCTCTGCCTCCCAAGTGCAGGGACTAAAGGCGTGTGCCACCATGACCAGCAGGGTAGTTCTTATTTTACAAGTAACTAATTCAGCAACTTAACCATAATGTTAAATGACTATAAAATATACATTTACACTGGGCATGGTGGTGCATGCCTTTAATCCCAGCACTTGGGAGGCAGAGGCAGGTGGCTCTCTATGAGTTCGGGGCCAGCCTGGTCTACATAGCGAGTTCCAGGTCAGCTGGGACTACAGGGAGACCTTGTCTCAAAAAGACCAAAAAAAAAAACATTTACAATTGGGAAATACGTGACATTAAAACAGTAATCAGGTAGCTACATATAAAGACTAAAAGAAGTTTTTGCCACTTCTAGAGAATTCTAAATACATGCATCATTTTCATATATGAAGAGCATATTTTTTAAACTACCTGTTTATTTTCCCCATAACACCCAATGGTAATAATACCTTCATGTTATACAAAACATTTATTTATATTATAAACAAAAATTAACTTCAATAGAACATACTGAAAACTGTAAACTCACTCATTCTCATTTTGCCCTATTCTTAAAATGTCATTATGTACTTCAATGTTAAGCTATCTGAGTAACAAATGGCAAATTCAGGAATATTCTTACCACAATAACATGTGTCACAGTTGACAATGTGCTATCACCTGCCATCAGTGTACGAAGCAATACCCCATTCGTGCAAAATGTCAAAAGTGTCTTTGGAGAAACCCTTTAAAAAACAAAAATCAAAATAAAGTGCATCATTACAAATTCTTTATATAATCAAAGAAAAACTTTAAACACTAGTTTTATATGCATGTTAACAAATATTATTAATATAATACTATAGTGGTACATATGGCTTATTAACATTTTTGAAATATATACATTGTGCCTGACAATCTCACTGATTTCATCACTAATAGCCTTTTGTTTTTCTTTTTTGTTTTTCTTTTTTCAGACAGCAGGGTCTCACTAATGGCTTTTTATTAACTAAGTAATATACTTTTCTGTTTAAAAATTTAAATAGGTATAAAACCTTAAGCAATTTTTACTTGAGAAAAACACTCTTTTACTCACTACTAAAAACAAAGAAGCACGAATACTTGTTGAGAAGGTATCACTAGTACTACAGTCTGAAAAATCCAAAATCCAAAGTGCTCAGATTTCAAAGCATTTCAGATGTTCAACCAGTAAAGTTTACACTAATATCCCAAATCTAAAGCACTCTAAAATCTGATACACATCTAATCACAAGTACTCTGGATAAGGCACACTCAACTATACCTATGTCACTAAAACTCAGTCACTAACATTTATTGAGTGCACATCTAAACTTCATGTTAGATCTATGTTCTAAAACCTAGATTGTTTATTGGCCTTATTTTAGAAAGAAACTAAGGCTCAGCAATGTGAAATAGTTTTCACTTCATCATAAAACCATGAAATGGGATTTATTTATGGCTCAAACTATTCAAAACCTCACTAAGCTTAGAATGACAACATATGAATGTAGATTTACTGATAGCAAAATAATCATTTGACTAACACTTCTTCTATTTTTAGTGAAATGGGTACATTTAGTCTTTTCCTCAGAATGATAAAAGGTAGGAAGACTATCTTTACCTGCTTTCTAATCGGATCTGATAGCCAATGGTTTGACCAATCCTTTCCCTTCTCTCTGCAGCAACTCTTTCAGCCACAGCAATAGCTGCTAATCGTCGTGGTTGAGTACAGAATATACGGCAGGGGATGCCATTTTTAAAGCAATCATCTAAAAGGAACTGAGGAATCTAAAACAAAGTTTAAAGTACTGAGCTTATATTCATTTTGCATACCCAGAAATATCTAAATAAATCAAATGAAATCCATTTAGAATTAAAAATCATTCCATAACATGTCAAAATATAAAACAATCCTAAAAACAACTCTCACTTAATCAGTAATAATCAATGAGAAAATGTAATTTTAAAAGATATTATTCACAATGAAAACTAAAGCTAGAATATTTTAAATCAATTTAACAAAAAATATTCAAGACTTATTTTGGAAGACTTCCAACCACTGTTGAAAGCCAAAAGATCAGACTATATGGAGAAATATATTTCTGGATAGTAATATTTACTACTGTAAGAAGAATAACTTTCCCTCAAATTACACCATAAAGACAATAAATAACACTCAAAGTTCCACTGTCATTTTTTAATAGTGAAAGGCATGAAGAAAACAAAAATAACCTATAATCTTAGAGCCATGAATATTTTTCCATAAATAAAGTTCAAGCCGGTCATAAAGATTTAAAATAAAGTCTTACCCACCCCACCTTACACCAACTCTCACAGTGCTTTCCATTCAAAGTACCTATGTTTACATTTCTTATGAAGTCTTTAAAGAAAATAAACTGCACAGTTCAGTGTATGTATATAAACATCACACTAATGATTGTTGTACCCAATGGTTGTAATTCCAGTTTTCATTTAACATATTTTATCTACCTTAACTACTTTAATAGCTACACGTTCTATCACACAGATCTGCTATAACTTAACAAATTACTTAAACTACACAGTTAAGTAATTTTCATTTTTAAGTGGATACTGACTGGCATTACTGATTGCTATGAAAAACAATGTTCTAGTGACCATCTCCCTTCACATATTTTTTCAAAGATGTATTATAAGTCATTAGCAAGCAATAAAAATGTTCATACTATATCCACTCTTAATTTAGATAGAACAATTATCAAATTGTCCTCCAAAGCAATATACTGTTAGTAATGGGGAAAGGAAGTTTTCTGGAAAGCATAGGGTATCATCAAATTTTTAATAATGCTAATCTGATAGTTAAATATAAATATCTTTACTCATTTAACTATGAGTGAAATGAAATCTTTTCATACATGCCTTAGCCCCTGGAATGCTTTTAATTTTTTTCAGAAACATAAATACGTAAGAATTATTTTAAAAGAAAACCTTTTCAAAGGCTAGAAAAGATGGCTCAGCAGTTAAGAGCACTAGCTGCTCTTACAGAGGACCCGGGTTCAGTTCCCAGACCACACATGGCAGTTCATAATCTCCTATAACTTCAGTTCCAGAAGAGTCAATGCCTGTTTTTGGTATCCATAGGCACCAGGATGCATGTGCTGCACATATACACATACAGGCATTCATACATGTAAAATAAAAATAAAATTTTCAAAAAGAAATTTTTTTGAGACAGGGTCTCACTAAATAGCCCTGGCTGGCCTGGAACTTGCTATGTAGTCTAGGTTGCCCTCAAACTCACAGAGATCCACTTGCCTCTGCTTTCTGAGTACTGGGATTAAAGATGTGCACCACCACACTTGGATTTTTAAAATATTTTTTTCAAACTACAGAAGATCCAAGATAAAAAAAAAATCCGAAAGGACAAAGAAAAAACATCTTACCTATAGAAGAGCAAAGATAAGGATTACATCTCGTTTCTTGGCTATGATGCAAACAAGAGTAGAGTCAAAATATTCAGAGAAAAACCTACGACCTTAGAATTCTGTACTTTGCAAGATTACCCTTCAAGTGAAAGAGCAATATTCCCTTGGATAAACAAAAACTGAGGAAATTTTCACTGCCAGTGATCCTGCCTTGCAAAGAAAACCCTTTAGGGGCTGGCGAGATGGCTCAGCAGTTAAGAGTACTGTGTGCTCTTACAGAGGACCCAGGTTTGGTTCAACATCCACATAGCAGCTAACAACTGTCCATAACTACAGTGCCAGGGGATCCAATCCCCTCTTCTGGCCTCCACATGCATTGCACTACATGGGTATACTTACATACATGTGGGTGAAACACTCATACACATAAAATAAAAAAAATTTTAAAAAGAAAACCCTTGCCGGGCATGGTGGCACATGCCTTTAATCCCAGCACTCGGGAGGCAGAGGCAGGCGGCTCTCTGTGAGTTCAAGACCTGCCTGGTCTACCCAGTGAGTTCCAGGACAGCTGGGCTACAGGGAGACCCTGTCTCAAAAAGAACAACAACAACAAAAAGAAAACCTTTAAAATTAAGATGTAAAGAGAAGGAAAATAATAAATACTAAAAACTCTAATTTTCATAAACAAATGCAGAACACTCAAGGAAGAATGTGCAATTTCTTTGTTTTCTTTTTGGTTTATTTGTGTTTGAGTAGAAGGAATTGTTCTTTTAGACAGCGTCTCACTACATATCCTAGATTGGCCTCAAATTCACAATCCTCCTGCCTCAGACCCTTAGTGCTAGGATTATAGGCATATGCTACCATACCTGGCAAAAACTTTCTTATTCCTAATTGACTTAACACATAACAGTTTCCTACAACTAGTAACAACAATGTATTGCCTGTTCAGACACTGTATATGTATATGTGTTAGTATGTATATATGTATGTTTATCAATACAAGGACAGGAGAGAGGAATTAGGACTATTTTGTTACTAATATTTAAGGTATTCATACTATCTGCAAAGTAGTACAGTGTTATATCTTTAAAAAATTATTACACTTATTTATTTATGGGAAAAGGAGTATGTGCACACCACTGCATGAGGCTGGAAATCAAAAGACAACTTCAGAGACAGTTCTTTCCTTCCATGTCCTAGGGATCAACTCAAGGTTGTCAGGCTTGGAAGCAAGCACCTTTACTTGTAGAGCTATCTCACCAGCCCTGAAGGTATACTTCTGTTAGCTATGTGTACTGTAAATGATAAAGCAACCACATAAAAATGTAGAAGAAAATGAAGAACAATGCACTGCATAATGTAAAGCGCAAAAAGTACAAAGGAGGATTCTAGAACAGCAACAGAATATGAATGTAAAGATACATAACAAAAATTTCAGATATAGTCCCAAGTACTATAGAATCTGAGCTTTGGTTTTTTTTTAAAAAAAAAAAAATGGCATCCTAAATCATGGGGGCAAAGAATAAATTATTAAGTAAAAGCTATATTTAAATAAATAGATATTAACAGAGAAAAAAGGTAAAGTTCCTAACTAATGTAATACCAAAAAAAATGCCTAAGGAATTTTAAATAAAATATCAGACTATTTACAGGATTTTTTTATTTTTTTGCTTTTGGTCTTTTTTAATTTAAAAATATTTTGTTAGCATTGCTTTAAGAAATGATCACACTTCTTTAAAGAAATGATTACACTGACTGTGTATAGATGGGAGAATTGTAAAGGGAGTGAATGGCACACTCACAGTGACAAATTTCACATTGTTGTTGAAGCTTGGTAGTACAGTTTTTGTCAGTAAACAACATTTAAAAATTACAGTAGACATACAGAATTTTGATTTATATTTTAATATCTAAATCTTTTTTGTTTTTTTGGTCTTTTTGAGACAGGGTCTCTCTGTAGCCCCAACTGGCCTGGAACTCACTACGCAGACCAGGCTGGCCTCAACTCACAGTGAGCCGCCTGCCTCCCAAGTACTGGGACTAAAGACGTTAGCCAACATGCCTGGCTCTAATTACATATTTTTAATTTGAAAATTATATCAGTTATTACAGTACTTTCTACTTCTTTTTTTTTTTTTTAAACTTCCCAGACTGTGATTTTTTATCTCTAGAAGTTCAATTAGGGCATAAGTGAAGGCACACTGGGGCTGTAGAAGAGTAATAGAAAAATAATGGAAAACCTTTTGGAGCCTGGCAATGGGAGATGTTCACCATCAAGGCCTGGATACCCAAGACCACCTGTGTAGTGAGGGCCACAGCTGAGCCTCAGGAAAGCTGGGAGGTCCATTCCAGAGAGTCAGTCCTCCCAAAACGAGAATTTGCAGATAAATGGCTACTCTTGCAGAGGACCGGGGTTCAGTTAGGACCCACATGGCAGCTAACAACCATCAGTAACTTTAGTTCCAGGGGATCTGATGTCCTCTCTGGCCTCCATAGGCACTGCACACATGGATGCACTTACATACATATACAGGCACAATACTCATGTACACAAAATAAAAATTGGTTTAAAAAAATTTTAAGAAAGAAATCAAAAATTTAAAAGTAGGACTCAGCATGTATGACAGAGTACATAGGTTTTGGCGGGCAGATGGGAGAGGCATGGATGGGGGAAGAGGGTCTGGATTTGAGTGGGAAATGTATTAAATTTTAAAAGCTCAATAAAAAAATTAATAAAGAAAAAATATTAAACCTAAAAAAAATTAAAAGTATATCATACAATAACTTCTACAAATAACAAAGAAAAAACAAACCTGTGTAGTCTTTCCAGACCCAGTTTCTCCGACAATCAAAACTACTTTATTATCCTTAATTATTTTAACAATTTCTTCTTGTTTCTCAAAAACTGGTAAAGATTGCCTGAATGAGTCAAATTCTGATTCTCCCCTTTTCACTGGAACTTGAGGTATGCCATTGTTGAGTCGCCCGCTTGTCTTACTCATTTCTCGGTTCTCTTCAAAAATGAATAAAAGAACAGAAAATCTGTGTTAAATAAGGAAAACAAAATGTATAACATAAAAGTAATTTTATGTAATACTTCTCAAATGTTTCTTCTCTACTCAATCTTCAAAAAGTTAGAAGCGATGCCTCAATTGCTATACTCTAATAATTGCTATTTTTATAGGTTACAAATGTCAGTACCAATTATAAAAGCAAGCCTTTCAAAAGTATTTCTGATTCATCACATGACAATGAATAAATTTTAATTCTTCCATAACCACTAAAGCAAAACAAGCACAATTTTGAGCATATAAATTATTTCAGTTTTACCATAAGATTCTATAAGTAATGTCACAAAAAATAAATAAAATTTTAAAGCAGGAAATAATGTGCATTATAAGACCTATTACATATGACAACATATTACAAATAGGGAAAATACTCTGTGTGTTTAAAATTGTTATGTGTACACTTAAAACAATAGTGTAATATGTATAAATACAAATTTCCCAATTGAGGATTTCAATGAATATCCACATATAACTAAGTCAATGGTAATAAAGAAGGTATGTTTCATAGTCTCCACGTAGCTTAAAATATTTCTGTATGCCTACATTTAAATACAAGTTCTTTAGGGCTCAGGATATAGCTGATTGAGAGAGCACTTGCCTAGGATGTAGGATCCCCAACATGGGAAAAATAAACAAAAATTTAAGAATAAATAAAGCAAGTTCTTTGATACTTAGGACTATATATTCTATGCACTGCAGACCTACTTCTATAGGCAACAATAACTATTCAAATCCTGTAACACTAGGCAATGATAATTTTTTCACACTGGAAGTTTTTTTAACATATATTAGTGATCTTTGAGTAATTTAATTTATTGAAAATTCTGCCCCACTGCTTATCAGAAGCTAAAGTCCTAATTTAAAATCTTACTTATTAGTGCATCAAGGCCCAGACTTTAGAGTCAAGTCTTAGCAGTGTTTATTGGTTACTTGAGTGACCTTAAAATATTTAAGTCTTCCGAGCTTGAGTTTCTTCATCTCTGAAATAGGGGAAATTCTTAGCATTCAAAGGTTGCTGCTATGAGGTTCTATATAGGGTAAGAATACTGCTAAGCACACAATAAATATTCAATGCACAGTAGCTATTATTCTGATGCTTTAAAAATTCAGTTCAACTGCATGCTATGTCTTAACACTTCATTTTATCCCAAATTTTCACAACTTTTAATCATCTCTAATATACTATTAAAACTGGAAAAAAAATCCCACATTAGTTTTGAAAAAATAAATCTAAGTTAGAAAAAGAAAAATCATCAAATAATGGGTTAAATAAGGAAACACCCCAGAAACTACATACCAGCTTCAACTGCAAACACATTTCCTCTTTCTGTTTTAGGCAGAAGTTCAGTACGTTCTTTGTTGGTCACAGGAAATCTCTGAATCAGACTCCTAACAGCATGCTTTGTATTATGGGTCAAATTACAGGTCATCATTGCATGAGCTGTTTCAGATCCATCTTTCTTCTTCACAGTTAGGTATCTATTTGCTCCCTTTCTGAATATTAAGAAAAATAATGTATTTACTATATACGGTCAGTTTGTTCACATATAATGTGAACTCAAAATGCTTTGGGATAAGGTGTTTAACCCCCGCCCCTCCCCCCAAAAAAGAAAGAAAGACAGATTTTGGACTCTAGTAGCCATAAGACTATTTTCAATTAAAATATCAGAATGCTACAAATTCGATTTTAAATCAACAACAAAGAAAAAAAAATAAGGCTAATTTACTCATAAGTGTTAAAGTCTGACTTTAGCAGACTTCCTGGCAGACAAAACAGCACCAGTGAATACATGCTGGGAACATGTAAAGAGGGGGGAAAGTCTGAACAAAAGAGCTTAAATGATACTCAAAAGGTGATGGGTGACTGTTCACACTACTACGCCCCACTGAATATTTCCATAGTATGCTGCTAATGTTACGTTCCCACAAAAGCCTGTTACAAGAGATTAGTAGTTAAACCAAAACTGTATAACAAAGCATTGCCAACAAATATTTCAATCACATATTTTTTAAATGAAAATATTTTTTTCAAAGCTTATGGTTCTGCCCTTCAATTCTATAATAGCTTGAGTTTGTTTCTTCAACTAGTACAAGACTACTGACCATGTCTTTTAAGTCTTCTCAGCTCTAAAAGTATATACTATCTGCAGAGGAAGTTCTCAAATGAGTTCTAAATGGTTTAATAACACATGCCTGAATTTAGCAGAGGAGTACTGGTTAAGGGCTCATGCTCTGAAGGCACTTAGATCTGGGTGGGAATCCCAGCTTTATGTACTAGAGCTGCAAAACCAAATTATTTGATAGCTCTGAGCCAAAGTAATTAACACACACTTGGAAGGATTATTCATATGATTAAGAAAACAGGTGTAATGTAGAGTCTCTGAATAAAAGAACGCTATTATAATAAGGAAAAATTTCATAGATGAGTGCTGTATTTGCATCATTTCCACCCCTCCCTCTTATTCCTCCAACTTCTCCCTCTCCCCTATAGTCCCTCTCAATTGGTTTGGTTTTTGAGGCAGGGTCTGCCTGCAGCCCCAGCTGGTCTGGAACTCACTATTCAGACCAGGCTAGTCTCAACCTCACAGAGATCCACCTGCTCTGCCTCTGCGTTATTAAAGACCTGTGCTACCACACCTGGCTACATTCAAATTTTCTCAACAGTATCTCCTAAAAGCATAAGCTGAGACCAACAAGATGGCTCAGCAGGTAAAGGTGCTTGTTCTCAATCCTGACCATCTGAACTACTGCAAGGTGTCCTCTGACCTCCACATGGGTGCCATGGTATGTGTGTCTGCACACATATAAACGATAAATATATGAATGTAAAACGCTTTTTTTTAAAAACAGAAACATTAAACTTAGGATTAACCTATAGTTTTGACTAATAAGTCTTCTAGGTGGGGCTCTTAATGTATCAACATTCTTTATTTCTGCATAGTGACTGCTTTAATAAACTGTAGGTTTTAGATGCTGTCGTTTCCTCTTTAAGTGCTTAGTAATACCTTAAATGATGGGACAAAGAATAGTCTAAATTAGTTGAGTGCGGTTACACATCTGTAATTCCAGCACTTGGGAGGTGAAGGCATGAGAATCACAGAATTCAAAGCTAGCCTCACTCTCATAACAAGTTTAATGCCAGATTGTGCTACCTGAGACTCTGAATCAGAAAACAAAATGAATAGTTAAAATAGAACCTGGTCTATAAATTTTAATTATTTTCAAAGTAAACCAGAGATTAGAGTCTAAATATGTTCTCTGTAGTAGGTTCATTTCCCTTGGATCTTTCTGAAGCCAGAAACTTCAGTTAGCAAAGTCATCTATTCAGTTTGCTGTGCTATATACATCATAAAATATTAATATTAATATTATTCTAAGGTGGAAATAATGCTGAAATGAAATAAGTATTAGAGAAGCAGTCTGGAGTCTAGTGTCTATCCAGTAATAATCTTTCAATTAACAGTACATGCTCAAAAAAATCATTTTAGTTCTCTAACACTGTATACTGGCTAATAAAAATATCCCTTACAGAGACAATCCACTATTGTTCTAAAACGATAACTAAATTTGTTTTCTCCCCCTATCTAGAAGCCTTTGAGAGGGAACTGACACTGATTCTAGCCACTCCAACAGCTATCAAAATGCCTGAAAACAAGTACTGAATCCATTACTCTCGAGTCCAGCCTTTTTAGACAAAAGAAAAATGAGGAGGAACCCAATGGAGAAATGCTTTTGGAAGCTCTCGTCAAGAAATCCCAATGGATTCTGTCAGGAACATTAGAAATTTGTCCTGTTTTGACTTTTTTCTGGTTCCCTGTCTAGAACTTGTGATGCTAACTACTCTTCCCTTTACTTCTCCTTAGGCACCAGTGGAGGACATTCTTTTCTCCCTACAGTTAAGAGTTATACAATTTGGGAGTCTTTTAGAGAGACCCACCGAAGGGGTACCCCAATTGCCTCACCCTGTGTCCTTGTTCAGCATGGAAGAAGCCAGAGTGGTCTGTGTCCCTATTCCCTATCAGCAATTGGGTACCCTCTTCAGGGGATGGTGTGATAAGAACAAGAGGTAGGAATTGGCTAGGCAATTAGGGTAGAAAGACCTCAAAGAAAAGTAACCAGTTTCTTGGCTAAAAATCAAAATGTTCTTGGGCCTCTTAGTAATATACTCTATTCCAAAGGCCAAAAATGTCAAAAGTATTTGTGAGCTCTTATCTAATCCCTAAAAGATTTTAGGGTTACCTCTTCAGAAGGGGGAATGTTAGAGTAGCAAAAAGGCCCATTTAAAAAAAAAAAAAAGAAAAGTACATGAAGTTGTTCAGGAAAAAGTGTTGGGGAAATATAGGGGGAGTTGGAGGGGAGGGAGTGGGCGTGGATTTGAACAAAACACCTTATATGCATGTATGAAATTCTCAACAAATTATTTTAAAAGAAAAAAGTACCTTACATATCTATAAAATGAAGATGCTTTAATTTTCTTAAAAAGTTATCGTCAAGATTTCTTATGCTTTACCTTTAATTTCCTTCTACTCTTAAGTTATTCATCATTCAAGAATTGAGCATCTATGATACAGAAGACACTTCGGTGGAGGCTGGAATTACAAAACTGAGTAAAGTGTCTTCCCTCAAGACTACAACCAAAAAGAACGGATCAAACTGATGCCTTCCAAACAAAGATTATATTTATAATGAAAGTAATTCATATTAGGTAGCTGAAATTTTATTCACTGGGTTCAGTTTCAACATGGATGATAGGGCAGAAAAAATAAACTTGATAACGGATTTTTTCCATTTATGGCTATTAGAGTTTCTCCTTCTACATTAGGCACTATAAATATAATGACATATACATAAAAATTTTGATAAAATATTCACATTATCTTTGTGAGAACACAACTATGAAGTAGAGATGTGTACTATGAAAATTAACACAATGAGAGCCCCTCATCTTGTATTCATTCCAAGGTAACTGATACTATGCTTTGATAAAAAACAAAATCTTCTATCCAAAACAAACTGAGGTACAGTGGTGCTAGATATGTGAACATCACACATTAAAAAAAAACAAAATAAAATGTGATCCCAAATGTAATTATTAACCATAAAAGTAAATGTTAGGGGCCGGTGACATGGCTCAAAGACTTAAGACCTTACTATGCAAGTCTGACAGCCTGAGTTCAATCCCGGGAACCCAGAGTAGGAAAGAACTGAAAACAGACTCATGAAAGTAATCCTCTGGCCTTGACGTTCCACACCGTGGAATGCACACTCTTCATTCTCTCACACGTCCAAACACATATACAATTAATCCAAGCACCTGGGAGACAGAGGCAGAAGGACCTCTGTGAGATCGAAGCTATCGTGGGCTACATAATGAGTTCCAGGTGGGGTAGGGCTAGGGCAACCTGTAAAATAAAACAACCAAAAAAACACATACACAATAATAATTTAATTTAATTTAAATGTTGAGGGATGGGCGAAAGGGAAGACATCATTCAACAGGTATAAAGTTAGAGTTAGAGAAAATATAAGTTCCACTGCACAGCAGGATGGCTATAGTTAACAATAAGGGATATATTTCAAAATAGCCTCAAGAGGATTTTAAATAGTCTCACCATTAAGAAATGTTAAATATTTGAAGCAACAGATGTACTAATTACCGATTTCCCTAATGTGTACATGTATCAACATCACATTATACCCCATAAATATATAAAATTATTGTCAATTAAAGGGGCTAGGGAGATGGCAGTTAGTAAAGTGTTTGCCAGGCAAGGATGAGGATCTCAGATCAGATTCTCAGCACCCACATAAAAAGCCAGACACAGTGGCAAGCACATGACATCCTAGTGCTAGGAAGGCAAAGACAGGAGTGTCCTCGGGCCATGGCAGCCAGCCAGACTAGCAGAATCAGTGAGCTTAAGTTCAGTGAGAGACCCTGTCTCAAAAAGAGAAGGTGGGAAAGCGATTGACGACACTCAGCTTCAACCTCTGGCCTACACATACATACATACATACATACATACATACATACATACATACATATATACATACGCACACGCACACGCACACATGCACGTACACGTACACACCACTACACATGCATTCATACACACACCCGTACACACACACAAAATAAACATTAACTACAAATAAATGGTAATAAAATTATAGATGAGAATATAATAACTTCTGAGATTCAAAAGGTAAAAATAATACCTGCATGCTATACTAAAATTGGCATTTTGATGGCTTCTTTCTTTTAAAGAAAGATGGGGCTAGAGATGTAACTCGGTGCTACAGGTTTAGTATGTATTAAGCCCTGGGTTCAACCCTCTAAAACTCTGCTTCCCAAAAGGAAAAAATGGACGAGGTACAGTGGTCCATACCTTTAATTTCAGCACTCAGGAGGCAGGCAGATCTCTGTGAGTTCCAGGCCACCTGGGGCTACATAGTGAGTCTCTGTCTCAAAAAAAAATAAAGGACAACGATTGATTGCCCTTTCTAGGCATCATAAGCAGGAAAAAAAAAGAAAAAACTTCACTTCCAGGAATGGACTCCCTTTCTAGAAGATACTGACTTGGTTGCCCACCAGAACTTGATGGTAAGACCCTATTGCTGAAGATATGAGCAACAGACAAAACAAGAGAGAAATCTTGCTGGTGTTGACTTCAGAGCCTCATCTCTACTAGCTAACGTTCACAGTGCTAGACGGTGCTATGCATGCTAATAGAAAGAAAAAACAATCATCATCCTTACCCAGCTAGAATCCTGTGAACTACAATAACTGGCCTGGTAAGATAGGCCCACCGATGTAATAGTGACACAAATATTATCGGAGTAACCAACCACTCTTTGCTTGGTTTGAAGGCCCACCTCCTAGGATGGAACCCATATCTGGCATTGATATCAGCCTTAGGAATCTGAGGCTAGACAGGTCACAGGACAGAAAAGAAAACCTATTATTAGTTTTCTACTAAATAGTTATCATATTAAAATGACTCCTAATGGCTTATTGTTATACCCATAGATTAATGTATCTCACAACTCCCACCAGAGAAGTTTCCTTTATGCAACAGATGGTGATTAAACCCACAACTGTCTAGCATGCAAAGAACAAGAGTCTTCAGGGTGTTTATCCCTGAATAAGACACCCATATCAACCTTCTGCCTTTCAAGGCTCAGGGATCATTGCATAAGAAGAGGCAGAAAGAGTCTAAGAGTCAGAGGTACTGGATGACTACAAGGAAACAGTTTTCCAGATAGCTGCTCAGTTACTTATGAACTTACAACAATGGTGATAGCATGCACAAGTCCTATGCAAGTGTAAGCCAGAAAAAAATCCAACATAGACATGAGGAAGTAGGTAAGTAACTCCAACTCCACCTAAAGAAACTGTGGCAACAGATGGCTGCTGGGAGGGGCACAGACAATCTCTTTCAAGCATGGGACTCTTGGTAGTTAACCATGGATCCATACTGACATTTGAGGAAACTAATTAGACTCTATAGAGTGGGGGGAGGTACAGATTGGGGAGGGATTTAAATAGCACCAAATTATACTGTATGAAAATCACAAAAAAACAAATTAATAAAAAAAAGTTTAAAAAAATGAAAATGTAATTGGAAATATTTTCACATACTCTATTTCTCTCCACAAGCTCATTTTGCAAATTCCATTTCTAACTAAAACTAAGAAACATAGGAAGGAAATTTTGTTTGTGAACAAACCAAAGGCTCAGAAAAATGTGCTCTTAGAACCAAAACCAGTGACTTCCATTGAGAAAAAGTGAACAAATTATGAAGTAAACTTTTAGGTATGCAAAACCTGACTAGAATGTCAAAGAAAACTGTAGAAAATTAACTGTTGTAAAATTGGGCATTTACTCCAATAAGATTTTCATTAAAAGATAAGCAATTATTAAAAAACAAAAATCAAATCCAAAGTATTCATTCCCAGATGAAAAACAAATCTTATCACACTATGGCTTCATCAAAGTAAAAAGCTATCAACTAAAGGGAAAATTGACCAGAAAACACTGTAAATTGGCACAAAGGAAGCTGAGAATTCATTCTTTTTAAATCCTACAAGAAGTTCAAAATAAACTAGAGAGCCTTAAATAAAACGAGCAGACTAACCCTTTACATTTTACAGTTAAGAAAGCAAGCTTTCAGCCAGAGAGCACCTGACTAGCCAGGGGGGTAAGGAGGACTGAAGGGAAGAGCTGTTCTTGGTATAGATCTAAATAAGTTCATCTACAATACTAAAATTAAGAATGTGAAGATAAAACAGTATTAGTTAGCGAAATGTAGTCAAACATACCAGGTATGGTAGCACACACCTCTAGTCCCAGTCCCAGGAGGCAGAGGTAGGCAGATCTCAGTGAGATCAAAGCCAGCCTGATCCACATAGCCAGTTCCAGGCCAGCTGGGGTCTACAGGGAGACCCTGTCCCCCCAAAAAACCAAAAACAAAACACACACACACACATACACAAACAAACAACAACAACAAAATGTAGTCAGATATATTTATCCTTTTCTGTAGCAAATAATCTTCAAAAAGTAAAAGCTACAAACTTACCCTTTACTTTTAGAGACTAGACCAAGAGACTGACTCAGTCGATGAATAAAGGCTCTTTCAGTACTGGTCAAAGAAGAAGGAAATTCCATTTCTACATGGGAAAAGAAGTATCATTTATGGACAATTTTCTTACAAGTAATGCATACGTAAGTAAAAATGTGAAAAATACAGGTAAGTGTATAATCGATTTTATTATATTTTATGTGAAAAGTATTAATTCAGTAACTACTCTATCAGAACCCTAATACTAATTTTTAAACTACATATAGACTAAATATGGTAAAATACTGATGTTCACCAAAGATTACGTATTTGTGCTGAAATCTTGGGTTGGTGTAATGACTATGGATGTATTTATTTTAACTTATTCCTTACCTGCTTAACAAAACTTTATTTCCTTCAAAGATGAGATACACTCAAGCATTATGGAGCCTCAACATGAAACACTAACGTCTCTGTTACCAAAACTATACACAACTCCTATTTCACTATTTCAGAATGGTGTTGTTACCATCGTCTGTCAAGGCTTTATTTCTGTACTCCAATAATTGCCATTTTTATGGATTAAAATTTTCAGGACCAACTACAAAAACAAGGCTTTCAAAAGTATTTCTAATTCATCACATATGAAACATTTCACAGTAAGTTTGTCTGATGGGCTTGATGCTTCCAGGATTTCAATAAAGCACTATATGCTGCCAGTGTCTTTACGTATCTGGTCGGTTTCCTTCCGCTCTTATGAAACTACTGTAGCTTGAATTAAGGCTACAGCTGCTTTTTAAGGCAAATGTAAGGGTAGGGGCTTACCAACACCTAAAAAACCGTTACCTCAGGGCCCCGGACTGCAGAAGGGCCTGGGAGAAGAGACTCTTAAGCTCGAGAGCAACCTAACCTGTTCACCTGACGCCGCCGACCCGCAGGGCATCCCACGCCAGGGCCAACAGCCGAGAGGCAGGCTACGGCTCCGCTGGGCGCCCGGCTCCCCTCCGCGGCCCAGCTGGGGGCGGGCCTGGGAGCTGGCGTCTGCTGTGTCCGCCCGGAGCCTCACCTCTCTGGTCACCGTAGCGGAAGCGCTCCAGAGCGATGTTGACGGCGATCTTCACCTCCTCGTCGATACGAATGTCTCTGAGTCCCTTCGCCCGGCCACCGCCCCCAGGACCGCAGGGAGCGGGGCCGCCGCTGCTGCCGCGAGCCGGCGGGCGCGGCGAAACGCTGCTCGGCCTGGACATGGCCCTGACAAGCTCTCCCCGAGCGGGAGCGGCCAGGCCTGCTGCGGGGTACCAGGGACAGGGACTGGGAGCCTGCGGGCCGAGGCCGGCCAGTGACAACAACCCGGATCCTCGGAGCCGAGGCGGGTCTAAGGCTCTGCAGGCAATGCGGCCAGGCGTGTTGTCGGAAACTCCACTCACTGCAGTGGGAAAAGTGCGGAGCCCCTTAAGGGGAGTGAGCCGAGGGCGCGCGCGTGATGACGTCACCGAGGCCTCGGCGCACGCATGACCCCAGCTGGGCTGCAGGTCGCGGGGCCACTGCTGCGTTCAGTGCAACAGCACTTAATTTGAGGACAGTTTATCAGTCACCCATTCATTTAATTCTTCATTCCTTTCTTCAGAACGGGCTAGTGCCCGGCACTTTGCACATAAACTGAACATGCGTGGGGACAGATAAAAGTTTTCCCAACCTCTTGAGGTTCACGGTCTAGGGAGAGCAGTTTGCCAGACCGAGTAGGCCAATTTTAATTTCAGATAACGAAAGATATAAGTTCTTAGCCTATATCTTTCGTTTGGGTAAACTGAAAACTTCTTATCTAAAATTCAGATTTAACTGTTTTACCTTGCAACCATAAATTGGAGTGACAAATGAAAAAGGAAAGAAGTACAGGAGTGATAGTTGGAAGTGCTCACAGGTGAGGGAACAGTCCATGCGGGGGAGGGGGGCTAGCAATCAGCACTCTGCTTTTGCAGCAAGATTAAATATAAAGTGTGAAAGAAGGTTCCCAGAAAGAATTCCTGCATCTTGGACTGAATTTCCTGAAAGGCTGTGGGGAGTCTGGAATGTTACAGATCTGGAGCCTATTCACAAATCATCTGGGGATGTCTTTAACCCTATAGTCACACTTTGCCTACCTCTGTTTCTGAATTAACATTCTTGTGACTAATAAAATATATTAACTTAGCAGATCACCAGGTTTCACCAATCAAAAAGCTAAGAATGTCATCAGTTAGCATCTGAGACCTGTAACAGAACCCCCCCCCCCACCTCATGCTTTACTAAGACCTGCTTACCTGAGGTATCCACCAATATATTTGAAAGGTGTCTTGATTTATGACTTTTCTCTGTTCTACTTTAAAAGTAGAACTGTTACCATGCTGGAACATGGAATTTGGGATAATTTGAATCTGTGTTCCTGGGCCATGGTCACTCATATTTGGCTCCAGAATAAATTAGCTCTTATACCCTTTGGGGTGAGAGTTAAGTTTTTGCATGGACAGTTATGGCACCACAACATGGGTCCCCCAAGAATTACTTGGTTTTCATCAGAGGAGTCACCTGGATGGAGCAGGTACCAGCATGAATCTGTTGAGTCCAGCCATCTGAAGGTGTCTCCTCAGATGGATTGTGGTGAGTTATTTCTAAGCTCCCGGACCGCCCTTGGTTTGGTCAATGGTCCATTTGTTTATTCTGAGCTGCTTGTTTAAGGGTCCTACTTTTTAGATATCTTTATTGGTTTTGGTTTGCTTTTGAAGTGTTTGTTTTACAGTATTGTTTTTCTTTGTTTGCTTGGTTTGAAAATATTTTGGTTTCGACATCCAGTTTGATTTTTTTCTTGCTTTCAAACTTCGTAAAGAATGTTTGAGTCTGATCATTTGTTAAAATTTCCTAGCAGTTATTTTTTTCTTCTTCCTTTTTCTTTTTTTCCTCTGAACACTTCTCCCATAGCTAATCTAAATAATGGAGAAATGTTTCAAGAAAAACAGATATTTCATATTCCAGCTGTATTTAGGGTTGATTAGTATGTTTCTTTAACTTATAAATGTAGGAAAATGTAAAAATCCAACTTAAGATAGTCTGCCAATTTTAAGGCTCCTCTTTGTTTAGATATTTGTTTGCTTGCATGCTTTCAAAGTGTTTGCTTTAAAGTATCCGGTTTTTTTTTTGCTTCAGAAGTGATTTGTTTCTGATTGGTTTGTTTTTAGTATTGGTGGCTTCTAGAACTTTGAAGGCATTTTGGTATTTGTTGTCTGTCATGGTTTGTTTGGTTTTGGTATGTTTTTACTTTGTTGGCTTTTGTCTCCAGACACTCCTCCAATACCTAAATTTGCGATTTTCCCCTGTGATTTCTCCTGGCTTTTTCCAATTTAGCTTAGGAATATTATGAGTACCTAATCATAAAGACAAGAGGCACTGTTCCCTCCACTCTGTAAGAGTGGAGGTGTCAGGGGGAACTCCCCAGGACCAGTAATGGTCTCATAAAGGAAACCCAATAAACATACCCCGTTCCTGGGTCAGAAGGAACTTTATTGGCTCATCGAGGAAGACACACATAAGGGTCAATCACCTAGTGTCTTGAGCCCCCTCACATTTTGGTAACCATGTGGGATAAGCGCGAGACCCAGTGGAAGAAGATGGTCTTAATGTGAAAGCTGAGAAAGTCCATCCCAGAAGCAGCACATAAACCAGATCCAAAACACATACTCCCCCAAAAGCATAGAAAGGCTTGCAATTTTGCAGGAGAAATTAAAATAAATTAGTAAATAAAATGGGAAACAAGTTTTCCAAAAAGGAGACAGTGAAGAAAAACTGCCCCCTGACACTATAGGTGGCTTTATGTATGTTAATTTTGAACTTTCAACTTGCAAGTATTTGGGAAAATGGGGAGATCTAACGAAAGATAACTTGGCCCCTCAGTGGGGAATATTTAATGTTCCAAAATTGAAATTTTTTTTGCACGCCTAACTAAAGGTCCTAGGCAATAAAATTTAAAACCATTACATAGGCAGTCTGATTTAAATAAAATGTGAAATTATCTAAAAGGACAAAATTATACAATTGGCATTTTACAAAAATATGAGCTCTAAGAAAAATAGCATGTGAAAATATTAAAATTAAAATTAAAAATTTTTAGATATTGAATCAGAACTAAATTCTAAGACAGTCTTATCTCATCTTTCTCTGACCTTGCAGTTCATTCCTTATCTCCTAGAGCAAAGCTCTACAACAAATAGATTGTGGCCTGTTTTAAGAAAGACTACTTTTCTTCTGGGAAGCTTGACTATATCTCATTTTCCTCTTCCCTTGAGCAGCTCTTTTGTCCCTGACTCTCATGTTTAAGTCTACATTAAAATTGTCTTTATGGTACTAGTTATTCTTAAAATTCCCTTCAGCAACTAAAGCCAGGAATGCTAGTTTGGCTTGAGGAGAGTTCTCTAAACTTAGAACTCCCAAGGGTCCTAATGATGACCATGTGACAGGCATGTCTCAGTCAGTCCTGAAGTCTAGCTGCTCCTGGTGAGATCCATCTTGAAACATCATTGTTGAGTTTCTCATCTGTCACCTGTATAATCAACCCTGCTAAGCACTTTGGGTTCCTTTGCTTCTATTTTTTCTGGCCAAAAACCCACTTAAAAACCTTGTAGACTCATCCATAGCCTGCTACTGAGTCAGATACAGCAACACATGGCTTTTTCTGGGGTACCTGAAAAGAACTGACTCCCAAGAAGGCCTGAGCCAGTCTCTTGCCTCCAGGAGAACAGCCTGAGATGACAACATGCTCTGAGGTCATGTTTATCAGAGGACCAGCCTCACTCCTCAGTAGCAATTTGCTGTATTCATTCCTTTTCTCGTTGCTGTGATAAAATAACTGGAAAAATCAATTTAAGGAAGAAAGAGCATATTTTGGCTTACAGTTTAAGGAAAAAGCTTATCATGCTGAAGGAAGCATAGTGCTGTGATAGGTATGTAAAGCAGCTGGTCACATTGCATCTGAGGTCAAGAAGCAGAGAGAGAGGAATCCTGGTACTAGACTCTCTCTCTCTCTCTCTCTCTCTCTCTCTCTCTCTCTCTCTCTCTATTAGTCTAGGACTCCAGCCCATGGAATGGTGCTAAACACATTCAGATGAGTCCTCCCACCTCAGCTAAATCTCTCTGGAAGTGCACCCATAGACATGCCCAGACATTTGTCTCCTAAGTGATTGTAAATCCTGTCAAGCTGACAAGATTAATCATCACACTTCAGAAGAAGGCCTTTGTAAATGTCTGTTCAAGAGTGTTGCAGATTCATTTTATACTGTAGACTAATTGCTGAGTCTTGGCATTCTTCCTTTCTCGAAGTGGGAAATTTTATCTCAGATATTTTAGCTCTGCTTTACCACTTATATATAGTATATGGGTGGAGACAGATGCAGTGTACATAGTTACACAGGACATAACTTACCTGGCCATGAGGTAAGGCATTTGGACCTGATAAAGAGGATGGTGTATCACCAGTCACTGTATGCAGTCATTAAGTAGAACTTTGCATATCTCAGACAGGGCATATGTATAGCAAGAAGGGGGAAATATTTAGTATTTGGTGAAATTATGAGATATTGTTAAAAGACAAAAAAAATACAGTAGTTTTGTTTAAAGATTTTAGTTTTCTTTTTAATTCTAGAGTTAGCTAAAAGTTTGGTCCATAAAATAGAGGGGGTCTGACTTATAAAAAGTAAAGAACTGAAGAAAACAGGAAAAAATAGCAAAAGCAGATTGGCCATTTCAAAGTTATTTGCCTCATAAAGCAGCAAAAAGGAGAGAAAACAATAGAAAAATAGCTAATACCAGGTTACTTCTGCTTACATTTTTGTTTTATTGAGACAGACTCTCATTATATATTCCAGACTGGCCTCAAACTCACAGTCCTTCTGCCTTAGCTTCCTGAGGGCTGGGATTGCAGGCATGACTCACTTCTATTTCTTTTTCTTTCTTTCTTTCTTTCTTTCTTTCTTTCTTTCTTTCTTTCTTTCTTTCTTTCTTTCTTTCTCTCTTTCTTTCCTGTTTAACCAAAGATTAAAGCACAGAAATTTTTCTTAGACCAGTTGAAATTGACTTGCTTGGGAAATTTGTTCCCTCTCCTCTCCTCTCCTCTCCTCTCCTCCCCTCCCCTCCCCTCTCCCCTCCCCTCCGCTCCCCTCCCCCCCCTTCTCCCCTCCTTTCTCCCTCTCTATCCCACTCCCTCACTCTTCCCCCCCCCTCCTCCTCCTCCTCCTCCCTTCCTCCTCTTTCCTCTTTCCCTTTCCTGATTTCTCAGAAAATCAGGTAACAACTTAGTTTCAATTTTCTGACACACAACTTTAGTACAAGTGACTTAATTTGTTTTCTTTCTGGTCTATTGGAATTCAGTGCAAGAACTCAGTCCAAAACAATGTTCTATACTTTTCATTTGATATTATTAGCCATGTCAGTGAATTCC